AGCACATGCAAGAAGTCCCACTATTTCCATTTTTATTGGGTTAATCCTACACTAGAAAAGGGTTGTAAGTGAGGCTGAACAAGTAATGCCCCAAAGGCTTCCAGGAACCACACAGAAGACCCTAGGACACAAAGTCTGGCCCTTGCCTTTTTGAGTTGACCAGGCAACATAGCCTTTAACAGATTTGCTTCTAGTAGAGTACAGGACTGGGACTCAGGAGCCCAATTCTGCCCATAGCTATGCCATTAAGTATGGGCTCTGTGACTTCAGACCACTGCTTTCTCTCTCAGGACCATGGTTTTCTCACCTTAAAGCTCAGCTTTGGAACCATCAGGTGTCCGTGTCCCCTCATGACCCCTGTGGCTTCTGAGTGATGGAGGTCCCTTCACTTATTTTTTTTCAAAGTTTTATTGATAAACAGATAGCAATGAGACAGTTGCGAATCAAATTGGAAGTATAGTTTCAACAAATAATACACTGCATATATTCTTCTTAGTGATTAATTGCTGTACAAGATGCGGACTTGAGATCCTATTTACAAACACCATTAGAACAAATCATTCTATTCATTAAGAGAATGCAACTATATATCTATCCCAACCACTTTGAATACACAGATACAAAATGGACATTCATCAGTATACCCCATTTTTTCTAAGTTCCGTTATTGAATATTATAGGTGTGTAAACTCAGCAAAATATTCTAAAAGAGTCCAGTAGGCCATAATAGCATTGGGTCTTCTGTTTAATTGGCAATGTCAGAAATTATTGACCTGAGTCCCCCACAGCTCAACATATCAGCATGGCTTTACTTCCTATATTTCGTCTTCATACTTTTCTACTGGATGGTTAAGACCAAGGTAAAGCAGGACCTGTGCAATAAGAGTTGTAGCTTTTTGGTCTGAGAAGGTCAGTGAAATGCCTTCAGGATTTATCCTGAGATCCTGTACCTCAGATTGTAGAACGTTTGTCAGTGCAGTCATGTGGATGAGTCACGGCCATTGCTTGGCCAATGTGCTCTCTGTGAAAGCCTGAGAGAGTGTCTTCTCCCCATGTGACTCTCCTTAGGCACACTCTACGTCATCGATCACTTTCCTCTTTGGCCCCATAATCTTCTTGATCAGAAAATTTGGGACACTACCGAGTTACATGACATTACAGTACAAGTTCTCATATGTCCTGAGTCTTAATTGAGATATGGTTCTTTTTTTGTTTTTGTGAAACCAGGTATTGAACTCAGGCCCTTGCACTTGCTAGGGAAGTGCTTATTTCACTGAGCCATGTCCCTGGCCCGAGGTCCCTTCACTTATGAGGGAGATGGATACACCCAGAGCACGGAGGCAGCTGGAGGCACTTCCTTCTTCCAGAAAGTCCCCTTAGAGGGTAAAATTAGTGCTCAGAGAGAACATGATAAGCAGAAAACTCAGAACACAGGGAGTTAAACATGATCAAGGAGTGTTTCTGTTCAGTTCTGAGAAGGAATGTGATTGGATCTGCTCAGAATTCCTCTCTGTTTAGGAAGATTTGTACAGAGAGAGCCAGACAGAAACATCCACCCAGAGTACTCCGTCTTCCAGGCATGGAAAACACTCACTCCAAAATGTTTTCTCCCTAACACTTCTTTTTCTTCCATCTTTTCTTTTAACTCATACAATATGCAGGTCAGGATGACCAGATTTCAAGTGTCTTTTGATTTAATCATATCCATCTTTCTATAAAAGATAATGATACAAATGTCAGAGCTGTATTTTGCAACCTAAAAAAATCATTTTACAAAAGAGATGTTTTACAGTTATATGTATAAGATGGGCAAGGCAGTGATCCTGAGAATCTCCAGAAGATTTTTGAATCTAGCAGTTAATTGGAAAGATTCTCACCCTGACAAACTATATATACTGATACCTGTGAACTAAGCAACTGCACTGAAGATGGTAATCTGTAATAGTAGTTTCATGCTTGGAGTGCCTGTCATTCTGATCTTCTGAATACGGGCTGCTTGTCATGACATGCCAGTTGCTGCTGTGCTGTCTCTCAGGTGGATGATTATTCAAAAACAAGGGGGTGGTGAATGAAGGCAAGAGACAGGAAAAGGAATCTTGTGGGACTGTCCTGCTTCAAGGTTGTATATGGTTAGTTTTTCGGACTTATGTGTAAACATAAGAAGTATATAATTCTTTATGCCTATTTTTTAAATATATTCTAATTTTTAAATGTTAAGTTCAACATATCAATACTTGATGAAAATTACCTGTTCCATGTTATGCCTAAGATGTTTGATATTCGGACAGATAGTGAGGTTAAGCTTAACAGCCTGGGTTGTATGGTAATAACAATAAACTTCTCTTCTGGAGGGTTAACAACCTAAGTTTGCAGACCAAAATTAGAGAAAAAGGAGGGTCACAAGGAAAGCCAACATTTTGGCCCTAACCTTCCAAGGTCAATTAAGACTCAGGACCTATGAGAACTTGTACTGTAACGTCATGTAACTCAGTAGTGTCCCAAATTTTCTGATCAAGGAGATTATGGGGCCAAAGAGGAAAGTGATTGATGATGTAAAGTGTGCCTAAGGAGAGTCACATGGAGAGAAAATATTCTCTCAGGCTTTCACAGAGAGCACATTGGGCAAGCAATGGCCGTGACTCATCCACATGGCTGACACTGACAAAGGTTCTACAATCTGAGGTACAGGATCTCAGGATAAATGCTGAGGGGATTTCACTGACCTTATCAGACCCAAAAGCTACAACTCTTGTTGTAGGTCCTGCTTTACCTTGGTCTTAATCATCCAGCAGAAAAGTATAAAAACAAAGTAGAAGAAGTAAAGCCATGCTGTTATGTTGAGCTGTAGGGGACTCAGGTCAGCAATTTCTGACATTGCCAGTGAAGCAGAAGACCCAATATTATTATGGACTACTGGACTCTTTTAGAATATTTTGTTGAGTTAACGCACCTATAATATTCAAATAATGGAACTTAACAAAAAAAGGGGATACAGATGAATGTCCATTTTGTATGTGTGTATTCAAAATGGTTAGGATAGATATATAGTTGCATTCTTTTAATGAATAGAGGGATTTGTTCTAATAGTGTTTGTAAATAGATTATCATGTCCGCATCTTGTACAGCAATTAACCACTAGGAAGAATGTATGCAATGTGTTAAATTATTGAATCTGTCCTACAAAGAATAAAAAAAAAAAAAAGGAGGTGTTTTTTTATAAGAATATTGGGAACAATGATGGAAACTGGGACTGCCCTAAAGGGTCTTTCCAAGTTCAAGAAAGAGAAGGAGATTTGAAAGCCACTCCACTGTGGTGCCTTCAGACGTTAAAGAGACAATTACCACTTGCTGTGTCTCAGCAGAATACCCAATGAAATTCTGTAAATGCAATTGCTGGGCCAAATCCTATTCTCAGTGTCATATTTCACATTTTCAAACTGTACTGCAACCCTTTAGCTATTCCTGCTTAAGCAGGACGTTATTTCTAAACATATAGCTGATGTACTTTTATTATTTTTCAGTTTCAACTATTATTTATTTCTTAATTTCCCAAAACTTTCCTTTCTTTCTTCCTTTTTTAAATTCTTTAATTTTTTATTTTTTATTTTAGGAAAGAGTCTATAGGGTGTTCAGGGTCTCACTACTAGATCAGACTCGTAGTGATTCTCCTGTTTACAACCTCCCAAGAGCTGAGATTACAGGTGTGCGCCACCACACCCAGTCTCAATCACTGTCTCAGTGCGCCCTAGGGGTGGGGCCAGCATGGCAGTCCCAGGGATCAAACCTCCAGCCCCTGCACCTGCTTGCAGGTGCTTTAATCTGCTGAGCTATTTGGCTGGCCTTCAAACTTTCCTTTCTATCATCTTCTCCAACTACTTTGCATTTAACTAGGTTTAATGTCTGAACTTACATCTTAAGACCATGGCAAAGTTATCCTCAAGTTAGCTGTGTGTATACCTTGATCTCCTTTTTTGGGAAACTATGTTTTCCCTTAAGATTACCTCTCACTTCTGTCCCCCACCCCTTTCTTTGTTTTCCAAATACAGACCATTAATTTATCCTCAAATGATGTGCCGGAAGTATAAATCTCACTGCACTGTGCCCACTGTGTTTGCCCTGGTTGGGCCCACAAAAATGAACCCAACTTACCTTGGCCAACCCTTAAAGGGCTGAAAATGCTCTTCAGCAGTGGCCATGGAGGTTGAGAAGCACAAAGCAAGATTTTGATCATAACACTATAGAACAGCTTCACTTTGTATTAAATATATAATATGTTACGCATTAAAATGAATACTTAACATGTTAAAATACATATTAATACAGTTTATATGAAGTGCAACTTGAGAATGTGCTAGTATTGACACTGAGAGTAGCCTTTGGCCTAGCAATTTGGCTTATAGAATTTTATCCAGAAGATTAGTTGAATGAATTACAGTAGTAACACACAATTAGATATTATGGATTGCTTAAGATGATACTGCCACTAAAAATTAATGTTAATGTATAGTTGAGAAGAGAGACTTCCTTTGACAATAAAACTTCTTTCCTTTATAGCACAGTCCCTATCTGTTTATGCCTTTGTGTTGTTAGTGCGATTTGACTTTAACTGTCTTCCCTTTCCAATGCATAGACAGCTTCATGAGACCAGGGACCATGTCTCCTTTTGCTCTCTGATTTGTTCTTAGTGTCCTAAGCTGTGTGAGGTATCTCAGCAGGTGTTTGCATGAATGAGTGTGTGTTGTCAGTGACAAACATCAGGAAAACTTTGGTGTTAGAAACAGCTTCTCTCTGGTGGAAGAGCTAATGGTCTGACTCGTGTCAATCCTGGCTCCACCATGACCCTGGGAAGTTTCTCATCTAAGCCTTGGATACAATGACAAAAGACCCTGAGTTGTCCAACCACATGATTCCTTATAAGTCCCATTAGATATACTTAAGTTTTTAAGTTAAAATGTCCTCAACCATGAGACTATGTCTAATACTCCCTGGATTTTTTTCAGTGAACTTCTACAAGACTTGGAAAACTGTGAAAATGATCCAGTGGCCATAGCAGAATGTTTTGTGTCCAAGGTAAGAAGGGTGTTGTTGTTGAGGTTGTGGTTGTGGTTGTTGCTTTGGCCCAACCAAGACAAACTGAGAGTATGGATTGTTTTCATTTTATTTACTTATTTATTTTTGTGGTACTGGGGATTGAACTCAGGACCTTGAGCTTGCCAGGCAAGCGCTTATTCTACTAAGTTATCTCTCCAGCCCTGTTTTCATTTTAGTTAGAATTAATGTTTTATTTCAAATAGGTTACATAATAGCCTCTCTGGTTTTTTTCTTGTTATTGTTGTTGTTTTCAGTAGCACAGAAAAAATATCCTCTTACTTGGAGAAGCAAGATGCTGACTTAGTACTTAACCTAGAACTTGCACAGTGACTGAACAATATTACTCATTCCTAGGAAAAACTTGGAGAAGATGGTAGAAAAAAAAAAAAAATATATATATATATAGCCACAAAAACAATTATAAAACTCCTGCTACTGGCCTGTTTGCTATAATTATCTTTTGAGATATAAAGAGATACAGAATTGATTTCCTGCACCTTAAGAATGCACTCTGACTTTTCTACATTTTCCTTAAACTGCTACCATCAGAAAACTACAAGAAATGGATTTGACTTTTAAAGCTGAATGGCAGCAAGCATGCTCTGAACTTCCAAGGAGATATTGCAGCATATAGTTCTTGACTATATTATTTTCTCAACACACTATGCTGTATAGAAAGAATCCTCTCTTAAATTTTTTCTAAAACTTCAGCTGGTGAAATGAACAAATGTTTCAGCGAAGTTCATGATGGTGCTTTGGAACCAATCATGAATTAGCACCTCATTTAGAGGCCTAGATTCCAATGTGAATTTGGGACGTTGTTCTAATCTAGACCCTCCAGATGGGTCTGCGCCCAAACACAACACCTCGGCTTTTAGTGATGAGAAGTTCCTTAAAGGCAACCAATGGCCTTGTCTACAAACTCTCTTGACTTTCTCTATGTGTGTTTTTGAGTGTTCACGTGTAAAATATTCACACCTGCTTAGGTACACACATTCTTTTCACAAGTGGCCTGTGTATAATTGATTCTCCTAGAGAACAGGAATTTGAAAGAAAAAAGAAAGAAAGAAAATGGATAAAGGAGAAATGGTTGGTTGGATAGGCCAAGTATATCAAAGAAGATATGTCAAATAACCACAGCACATAAACAGCGTAGAAGCTTTCCGAAACGTTTGGCTTTTACTGGTAACTATAATCACGAGCTGATTAAAGATGTTCCAGCATACGCTTAGCTCTGGCTTAATTATTCACATAAAAGTTTGTTTATATGCCTCATTGCCAACTCCCAAATCTTATTTTTCATTGTAATTTTGCCAAGTTTAATTAGAAGACCAACTTCAGCACTCCACACATTCACATGGGCTGGGAATCGGGAGGGAGCGCTTGAGTCTGGCGTAACCTGCTTTTCACTCAGCACCCTGAAATTTAGAAGAGGTTATGTTTTCTGAAACACCACCAGCTGCTCTGTTCAGGGAGGAATGGAAAATTGCTTTAATTGAGAGGTCATTAACAAAAGAGGCAAAGCCGGCAGTTGACTCCTGCTTTTATCTGAGTCACTGGGGCTTGCACGGAGATTCATCTTTGACCTGGCTTACTTTTGTGGTATGTGTAGGTTAAAGAAATTCTTCCTGACAAATGGAGAATATAGAGCTGGCGAATTGCTCCTAGCAGAGTACTCGCCTAACACGTGCAAGGTCCTAAGTTCAACCCCCAGCCCTGCCAAACAAAGCAACAACAAAAAGCCAGGCATGGTGGCACATGCCAGGAATCCCAGCTACTTGGGAGGCTCAAGCAGAAGAATCACAAGTTTGAGAACATTGTGGTCAGCTTTTGGGGACCTGATTTAGAAATTAAAAGGGCAAGGTTGCAGCTCGGTGGTAAAGTACCTCTGAGTTTGATCCCCATGACCAAAATAGAACAAAAATATACTTACTTCTTCCTCACTGCTCACGGAAGAATAAGGGACTAAGAAGTGAGGGACAGAAATAAAAGTTCCTTACTGGGCAGGCCAGGCACAGGCCCTTGAGCTCTCACCTAGCTTCTGCACTTCACTCACCAGTGGTGCCTCTATCCGTTGTCCATGTAGGGAGCCATCAAAGAACTACTGCAAGTCTCCAGTAGAAACTCTTCTGCAATCTGTTCTTCCCAATTGCACAATTCTCCATCTCTAAATAATTTTGTAGTGCTAGATAATTGACAGCGATGCATACAATCCTTCAGCAGAGACATGCAAATTCTACTCAGTACAGCGACAGTTTCTTCACCCGCCCATCCCCATAGAAAAAGCCAGTCTAGTCTCTATGTGTAATTTCACATCAGCCTTCCTCATTGACCTAAGTTTGATACTTTTATTTCTCGTTTGGTCCAGTGGTAATATTGTTCTGCTTTCCCCATTAATTAATAGGTCGAATAAACTATTTGACAATGTTCATTTAACATTTGCAAGAGGGCCATCAAGATAATTCAGTGGACTGAGCACCTGTTTAGACAAGTACAGGGACCAGGGTTCAATCCCTGGCACCACATGCTGTGCTGGCCCTGCCACTGGGCACACTGAGCTGGCCACCAAGACCCGGTGTGGTGGTACACACCTGTAATGCCAGCACTGGGGAGGCTGAAAACAGGAGGATCGCTATGAGTCTGAGCTGCGAAGTAAGACCCTGTACCAAATACATTTAAAAAAACGACATTTGCATGAAAAATCATGGTTCTACCCTGTTAAAGAATTATCCTATAATGAGCATTAATAGTTGCTATTTCCCAATATTGGATAATATGACCCACTATCTGAAAGACTCAGAAGCCCCAGAAATAAAGGTTGTAGGGAACTGGAAATATGTTCACAGCAAAGGGCAAGAGCCTCATACTGCCAGCCACATATCTAGTGCACTCGAGGCCAGACTAGATGTATGCAGGTGAGTCCTGCTTGCAAATAATTGTAGTTACTAGGGGCATTCAGGAGTTCCACAAACATTATGTGCCAGATGAACACAGTGTGGCCTCTCCCCTAAGGAGCTCCCAGCTTGGTGTGGAGAGGGACACATGAGCAGAAAATGTCACCAAATATCATTTGGTCAGTACGTCCCAAGAGGTTGGCACATCCCAAGAGGTAGGCACTGAGTGTGGTAGGATCCCAGAGTAGGAGCAGCTCGCCCAGCCCCAGGGCTCAAGGAAGGCTGCATGGAAGAAACAGAGCCAGAATTCAGTTCCAGGGGAGGCTCACTGGCTCTGCAGGGAGAGGATGCAGACAGTGGCAGGCAGAAAGAAGGTGCATGCAGGTCCTTGGAAGTGTGCCACAGCTTGCAACACCTTGAGCTTACCTCCAACTCGTTCTTTCTGCAAAGCTTTTAAGTTGCTTGCCTATAGCTCCCTCTCCTACTGCATGTCCACCAGAGGATTGTGAGCATCTAGGGAAAGAACCTTTATTGTCATCTCTTTCCTATTTGCCTTTAGATTCACTGGAACCTAGCAGGTGCTTCATTTTTATTGAACCTAAATGAATTTAAGTGTATGTGGGTTCTGAGTTTATAGTAATGGACATAAACAGTTGCCACAAGGCTCAGGAGACAGGCCAATGTGATTGGAGAAGTAAGTTTAAAGGCCTGGTTGCTTCTGCTTTTGTTGTTCTTAAATGAACGTTGATATCATTGATTTTTTTGCCTGTAAAGTATCCCTTTGTTTCCTTGCAGAGTGAAGAGTTCCACATTTATACCCAGTACTGCACTAACTACCCAAGGTATGGATCGGATCATTTCCAGGTTGTTTCCAGCCAGTAAATGCAACATATGGGGTCCTCTGGTGTTGTCTGCCCAGCGCTGTCCTGAGTAGCATGGGAAACCACAAAACATACTCAACAAAAGATAGCAGGGCTTCCAGATTTTGACTGATCCTGTTGGGCTTTGGGCTAACAGGAAAAAAATTGTGAAAGATGATGATGGAGGCCAAGAAGATTACTGGATGTCCCCAAGGGAGCACTAAGTACATCCCTTGCATCAGGCTGTTCACCTCGTCTGCTCACCTTTCTCTATGTGCGCCTTGTTTTGGGGGTTGGGAAACAGTACTTATGAGTTTAGGTAACCCAGCTGGAGGGAAAGCATGCTCTGGTTTGGCCATGTAAGTTTTTGGAACTATACAAGCCTATAGCATTCATGAAAAGGACAGATCCATGACAAGGCAATATGAGAAAAGGGGCCTGTCATCTCCCCTGGGTCGCTAGCTCAGTTTTACCTACAGGAGAAGGCAGTGTGGTGCAGGGAGTAACCTGCATAAAATAGTGTAGGCATTTGTTTCTTTCCTCCAAAATGTCTAAAATGCAGAACACCCATGCCAGGGCCTCGTGGTCGCTATGTTCCCAGCAAATGCTAATGCACTGCCAGTCCTGCCCATCTCCACTCAATGGGTGAAGCAGCCAAGCTCTGATAAATGTGTAACCAAGAAGGCCACCTAGCTGATGAATGGCCCTGCCAACATTTGCCCTAAAGTTTCTCCAACCACAAGCCTTGTATCAATACGTCCTTATAAAAGCCTGTCATTCCCCCATATATTTTTTGTTGTTTTAAAATTTATTTATTTATTTATTTATTTATTTATCTGGTACAGGGTCTTGCTATGCAGCTCAGAATTGTGATCCTCCTGTTTCAGCCTCCCCAGCACTGGGATTACAGGTGTACACCACCACACCCCATTTTGGTAGCCAGCACAGCATACTCAGGGTTCTGGGGACAGCATGACATGTGGTACTGGGGATCGAACCCGGATCCTTGTGCTTGCCAGGCAGGTGCTTAGACTGCCAAGCTACCTCACCAGCCCCTTCCTCACACCTTTGTATGTGCCTTTCTTCCCACTATAATTCACAAGACTAGCGTGGTCTCAGGAACCAGGCAGAAATAGGAGAGCTGAGGAACTTCACACACTGTGGCCAGTCTTGGCAAGGCAAGTACCTTAAGATACAGTAGGTGGGAGGACCCATCTGGAAGAGAGGCCAGCAGGCTGGTCCTCCAAATAGCTGAGGGAAGAAGAAAGAAACTTGGACAATGTCCCTGCTCAGGAGGAACCCCAAAGCCAGTTTGTCTTAAAGGGCCCATGAAGCCAGAGGCCCAGATTTACTTATCACAAGTAGTTCCCGTTGCAGGATTGTACTCCTTCTCTAAACACTGGATTTTGGGCCATGCTGATTTAGTTGATGGTGGCCAGCCATGCTTTTCCTGTTTCTCTTAAAAAGAAAAAAAAAAACACCACATGTATATCTGAGCCCTTGTCACATGTCCTTACTTGTACACACTCATTGCTCACAGTCTCACTTAAGGAGTTTTCTCCCCTGCAGTATTTGTTTCCACCTCCGATATCAGGAAATTGCAGGATGCGCTAATTAAATCCCATGGTCATTAAGCCTGAACCAGCTTGCACCACTCCCCAGTTGAGAGAAATCACAGAACTAGCCTTCAGCTTCTCCCTAAAACTACTTCTTCCAGAGGGGAAGCAGAAACCATTCAGGATGCCACAGAGTTCTGGAGCCAAAGATCAGAATCTGCACGGAGAGAGGGGCTTGTTGGGCAATTGTATCTGGCTACCTCTCGTCATAATCCTGTCTGAAGAGCTAGCTTCTTCATAAGACACTTCCCAAATTGCAAATTCAGATTTTCTGACTAAGCAAGGAAAATGCAAAATAAAGGCAGCCTTTTTATACACCACACTGCTTTGCAGTCCAGAGAAGGGTGGGGTTGTTTGTGCAAGAACACGCATAAGAGCCTGGAACAGGCTCCAAGTTCAGCGAATCGGATCTGCTGGAAGAGCGAATGTGGCCCTCCCTTTCAGTTTATGTCCCTCTGAGGAGGAGAGCTCAGAAATAGCATGTCAGGAAGAAGAAATAAGTACAGTAGGTGTAGATTAATACAGGGTGAGCGCAGCCCAGTGTAGCAGGAGCTACAGCTGCCTGAGGTAGAAGTGACGACCCCCCATGAACGCTCTCATGGGCTGCTTGCTAGAGAAAGGGTTGCTTAATTTTGAGTCTAACTCTGAAGAAACCTGTGTCGGCATAGAGACACTTGCAGAGTGTTGGGGTTTTTGAAGGGGTTTTTGTGTGTTTGAGAGTTATTTTGTTTCTGTTTGTGCAGTATAGGAGACGGAGCCTCACTCTGAGGCTCTTCACACTGAGCTGTATCTCAAGCCCTTTTTTACTATTAATTTATTTTTAACTATAATTTTATTTTGAAGAGTAAAAACAAAAGAAAAATCAGAAACAAAGACAGAAGCAGGGTAGCATACAACAATGCATACATTACAGATTTTCAAAACAAGAGTAGCTGATTAACAGTGGTTGATTTATTATCTATTTTTATCGTCAAATCTGTTTTGCAGATTAACAGGTATAGTTAAGTAAGATTGGACATATGGTTGCATATTACTGCTTGCTTTCAAGAAATCTTAAATTTTTGTTTTTGTCTCTTTCTTTCATTGCCTTTTTCTAAAAATTTATTTTAAAGAGAATATAGTAATAATTGATATGACATTAGAAACAGTACACATTTAGAAGATCAAGATGACTGGTATTCAAGCATAGTTTTTGTATTACACATTGCTGTCCTCAGTGGAGTTGCTTAGTTCATAGATATCCATATACAGAGTTAGTCAAGGTGAAAATTCTACATGTTAACTACTATTTTCAAAAAAAAAAAAAAAAAGACTGATGGAATTTCTTAGTATAATCACCTCAGCCATCCTGTATATATACTTCACTATTTATTTTGAGATGAGACTCACTAAGTCACAAAGGCTGGGCTCAAACTTGCCATCGCCCTGCCTCAGCTTCCCAGAGTGCTGGGATTCCAAGCAAACATCATCATGCCTGGCTTGCAAGTTCTTCGTAAAGATGTTGAATTCTAGCCCACTTGTGTGGCTTTCAGAGTCAGAGAAATACTCTCCTGTGCCCTGGTCTCCAGGCAGTTTGCTCTGAGGCCTGAGGTTCCCCTTCCCCATCTTCAGAGGGCACGAGTGCCAGGTGTTGCAGCCCACCTGACAACATCTCCATCCCTTTGGAGCCAGGCTGGTGATAGGAAATGTGCCCTCACAGGTTGACAAGTGTCCCCTTTCTTTGGGCTGGTCACACCCCAGTGATTTCCCTGTGAAGAGGTGTGACCCCTTCCTCGTTCTCAGGAAGTGATATCATCACAGGTCATTGTCCTCAGATGCGTGTCCCGTGTCTGAGACTTCAAGGAACCTGGGACTCATCAGGCTCCCACCTTACAGCAGGCGCTAATTCTCCACAACAGTGCCAGTGCCAGACTCCATTGTACTTCTGGGCAGCTGAGCCTGACTCTGGAGAAAAGCGAGAAAAATTCCGATAATGGTGAGCAGTGAGATCACCTCTCAAGAGAGGAATCTAGCACTCGGAACAGATTCTGAAAACAAACAGGCACCGAAAAGATTCCATGGCTTAATGATGAGCCTTCCATTTAACTTTTTAAGGAATCTTACTTTGGATCTGATTTTCTCAATCTGAAAACGTAATAATGACCCAGAGGAGAAAAGGAATGGAAGTATTTCCCTATGCCTCCTTTAGTTTTCACTCCTGCAGCTCGGAGAATTGAACTTCACACTGAGCTACATCCCAGAATATTGGGGGGGGGGGGGCGTGGTCTATCTAGGTTGCCCAGATTGGGCCTGAATTTGTGTTTCTCCTGCCTCGGCCTCCCAGAATTCTGGGAACAGGTGTGTGCCACCACACCCACCTCCACCTGCTTTGTTCTGAGGCTACAAGATTTTTCCTGGCAGGTGTGTGTGTGACTCTGCAGGCCTCTTAGGTTGCTGCAAGTGTTCGGCACTTCTTCAGCCAGTCCCTTAAGATGCCTGGTGCTCCACTCTTACCTCTGGGAGGACTGGAATGTTGAAGGAATTCTGATGCACCTTCTAACATCCTGTAGCACAGCACCCTGTAAGGAGTAAGACACGCCCCCCCCATAGAAGCACTTGGAGAAGGAAATCTGCTCAGAGACTCCAAGAGGGAGCTTCCCTCTGGGAAGAGCTCTCTGAGGAAGCTCACTCCACCAGCTGTGCGTGTTGTACATTATACAAAGGTGACTATTGTCAGGGGCTACCAAATGCCCCAACAGGAGGCTACTTCTACTAGCCTGGTGAACTCCTTTTGCATGGTACAAAGATGCCTACTCCTGGGTGTGGCAGCACACACCTGTAATCCTGCCACTTGGGAGGCGGAGGCAAGATAATCACCCTGAGTTTGAGACCACCCTGAGTTTGAGACCACCCTGGGATACACAATAAGTTAAAGTTCGGCCTGAATTACATAGCAAGACTCAGTCTTAAAAAACAAAAAAGATGTCTAGAGCTTGTAATCTGACCTGCGGCTCCAGATATGCAGGAACACACAGCCAGATGGATTGCAAGTGGAGAGCTAGAATACACCTCAGATCTCTTCTGCTGAGCCCTAGGCCCTGGCCTGGGCTAATCGGAGGCAACAACTTGCTGCCTAGGAGCCAGGAGTCCGTGGCACTTTAGTACCCCCAGTTCAGTGCCCCCTTCAAACTCACCCAGCCAGGGAGACGTATTTTGCTAATTTGCCCCAAAGTGTCCTCAACTGGAGCTAGTTCTGGGGCTACCAGGCGTTTACACTGACCTGGCCTGAAAACCTCAAACACCATGTGCAAGGTTACACTGAGACCCAAAGCATTTGTTCTTCGCGCAGGTCAGTGGCTGTGCTAACCGAGTGCATGAGGAACAAGGTGCTGGCCAAGTTCTTCCGGGAGCGGCAGGAGACGCTGAAGCACTCGCTGCCTCTGGGATCCTACCTCCTGAAGCCGGTGCAGCGGATCCTCAAGTACCACCTCCTCCTGCACGTGAGCCTCCGCCTGCGCCGGGCACTGTGCAGGGGAGGGGGTGTCCTGTGTACACTTGACATTCGGGGGAGAACACCGGGACAGTCTGTAGGCACATGGAAGTGTTTTCTGCTCTCATACTTTACAACTGACTAATCTGCCTTGAGGAATTAGAGGTATTTGGATTCTAGGCCTACAGCCCCATTGACCACAGCCAAGTCCAGAGATTAATTTTAGCTCAGATAGTAACAGGGCGTAGGAATGCCTTGGCTGGGCAGTGGCGACTTCGGGCAGGGAGCTGTCACCCAAGTGGAAAATAGATCCCCCCACACATACACACACACAATTTTATTTTATTTCTATGAGCTCCGATTCAGTAGGTTGGGAGCGAAGGCTGCTTGTCATCCACTGGCTAGTGTGTGAAAGCAGAGAGAGGTTCTAGAAAAGAGAGGACCACGGGCAGCACTCTGACGCCGAGAGCCGGAGTGGCCTCATTTCCGGGATCTGCCCCTTTGGAGTAGTTTCCATTGCTTTTATACAGTTCAAAGAGGCTTGAGAAACAAAGATAGACAGAACTCTCTAATTCTCAGTTCTTTGTTATCACTACGGAATTTTCTTATTCTCTACGGAATTTGAAAATAATAAAGAAAAAAGTTTTACTGAGGGTAATTTGAATTCTGTGAATAGGATTTGCTGACCTTTGTAGTTGGGGAAAGACAATAGAACAGCGTGGCTAGTCTGCCTGCCCCAGATCCTACAAGTGGCCCACGGGCCTGTGGCTCTTGGGCACACAAGAAAAATAAGTTAGTGTTTGTAGGTTTTATTTTGTCTTGTTTTTTCATATCAGGAACCAAAGTCAGGGCCTTCTCACTGAGCCACATCCCCAGCACCCACCCCACCCCCACCTTTTTTTTTTTTTTTTTTTTTTTTTTTGTATGTATATGGTACAGGGTCTCACCATGCAGCTTGGACTCATAGTGATCCTCCTATTGTCAGCCACCCAGTGCTGGGATTACAGGCATGTGACTCCACGCTGGGACTCAGTGCCCACTCAGCACCCCCAGGGGCAGGGCCAGTGTCCCCAGCCCTGTTTTAAATATTTTGATTTTGAAACTGTGTCTTGCAAGCCACTGGGTTGCTCAGGCAGGGTGACTTTCAGTCCTGCTTCAGCCTCTCTGAGTGTTAGGGTTACACGCCACCACACCCAGCTTGTAGTTTGTCATTTTTATACTACATTAAAAATCTTTTCCTAAAAACTTTTAATCCAGAGCGCCTCTCTCTCAATAGGCCTGTATCTCTTTTGAAAATATTCCAGGTTTCTAAATGAGGAAGTCATTTTCCGACTTGCTCAACAATTTTGAACAATTTCAAAAACTTTTTAAATCCAACTTTGCCAGAAATGTCTTAGTTTTGCTCTGCTCTCCTGGGAGATTGATCTTTGGAGGACTGTACATCTTCTTAAGCCCCAGTAGAGCTATGGTTTTTAATGTTTAAATTGGTCCAAAGGATCTTTTAGACTTAGTGAGACAATCTGACTAAATCAGTATCCAAATAATTCTTAAATAATACCTCAGGACAAATCTCTACTGAGATCCGCTGACGTGACATCTAAGACTCACATTAGAAGCTGTCTATCTTGTAAGAGTGAGAACTATAGTACTGAGAGCTACAGCACATTGCTGAGCTCCTGAGATCAAGTGTCATATCCATTAGAATTAAACATCTCTGAAAGGCTTACTGAATGCTTTATGCCCAGTCCTAGAATTCTGATCTACTTTCGTTATGCCTAGCACTGTTGTTATTTCCATTTTACCACATTTTTGGCAGATCTTTCTAGTAAGTTATCTCAAAATCTTAAGGGCTCATGGTAGTAAGCAAAGAAGTAAGCAAAAATAAAACATGAGGAGCCCATTCTAGAGGTGTCCTTTGTTTTATACTTGACTGTGGTTTAAGTAGAAATTAAGTTGCTCTTTTTGGTTTTTAAGGAAATAGAAAATCACCTTGACAAGGACACAGATGGCTACGACGTGGTGCTCGATGCCATAGACACAATGCAGCGTGTGGCCTGGCACATCAATGACATGAAGCGGAAGCATGAGCATGCCGTGCGGCTGCAGGTGGGCCAGGGCAGGGACCACCCTTGGCGGGACTCGGGCGGCGGGGAGGGGGCGAGTGCTGCTGCATCATTTTCCAAATCGGATATTCATGCCACACAGGAGCTACCCTTCTGCACTCGTGGTCCTCACCCTAGTTCTCCCCAGGACAGGTAGGACACCTGCACTCCGAATCATTATTTAGAGTCACTATTTAAGACAGCACCACATTGTAACTTGTAAGCTAATAGCTTGTTTTATAGCTTCTTTGATGTCCCAGCTAAAAACTTGAGTCTCCCAAGGTCTTATTTCATATTCATTAGAAATCAGTAATTAAGATTGAAAATAACTGTTCCTAGTTCATGCCCAAGGCTGAGACGGTGGGGGGCGGGGTCACAGGGCCAGGATCTCAGGGAGGGGAGCAAAGGCTGAGTCAGCGCCTTTCAGTTTCACTTGGTTCCTGACTCCCAAGCACATCATTCTGGTTTCCTCACCTTTAACATGAGATAGCAGATGAGAGGTTTGCAGAGGTCCCACCAGCACAGCACTGTGAGCCCCAAATCCTTAGGAAATTTTGATAGATGCCACACCAATTATCATGTCCTGGGTGCCTCAGAACTGCCCTGTGAGTGGGCGATACGTGCATGAAGAAATGCTCAACGTTGCTGGCCATTACAGAAATCCCAATGAAACCAACACTGAGGTTCCATCCTGCCACACAGAGAAAGACCTTCATCGAGAAAGAAATCAAAGGGCTGGCCAGATAGCTCAGCCGACTAAGGTGCCTGGGTTCCATCGCCAGCACCACATGCCAAGCCAGCCCTGCCCCCAGGGTGCGCTGAGACTGCAACTGAGACTGCAACTGAGCCTGGGCATGGTGGCACGCACCTGTCATCTAAGGGTTTGGGAGGCTGAAAACAGGAGGATCACTATGAGTCCAATCTGTGTAGTGAGACCCTGTAGACCCTGTACTAAATACATAAAAAAAAAAAATCAAATAATAACAGAGGATTGTGAGGCTTCAGGGGAAATGCACCTTTCTATATTGCTAGTAAGCATGTAAACTGGTGCAGTCACTCTAGGAATCACCATGGAGACTCCTCAAAAAGCTGAACCTGGAAATCCCATTGGACCCAGCTATTCCCCTTCTAGGTGTCTCCCCCAAAGAGTTCAAAGGTATCATATTACAGTGAAGCATGCACACCTGGGCTTATAGCAGCACAGTTCATAAGAGCTAACCAGTACTCCGCAGCTTCTCTTAGATGAGAACCCCAAATATGTCTAAAGAGCAAAGCACAAGATAGCTATCAGGAGGTAGGGAGATGGACCTTTCCCGAGTAGGAGGAGGCTCTAGGGCCGGCGGGCAGGCGGGCGAGACAGATGAGAAGGGAATTCCGATGTGTTGTGCGCATGGACCAGCTCCACGCAAGGAATGTAAACACTGGACTGCAGATCTGTGCTGATAGAACATGTGTGAGGACAAAACAGCCACGTGGGCAACCAGTTGCGGGCCTCCCGGGGAGACAGAGGCACAGAGCGACCCTGCACTCAGCCGGGCGCTCACACTCACTCCGGAGGAAAGACGCATTATTCGGCTTTTCAGTCAGAGCCCACAGGCAGCCAGAGTTTTGGTCGGAAGCTCCTGCGAGGCTTCGACCACCAGAGGGAGGCAGTCTAATCTTCCAAGTCAGGTCTGGCTCGCGCCAGGAGTGAGATGGCTGCTGCTCAGCCACCCAGTGCTCCACAGACGTCCTCTCAGACGTTCCCGCACAGCCAGGCAGGGCCAACTGGCTGGGGTGTCATTCCTGCGCCTCTGCGCAGCGTGCTGAGGACACCGCAAGATCTGTGGCTCTGACTTACCTCCTTGTCTATTTTTAACCGATGATTATTTTTTATTATGATCTTGGGGCTTTGTTACATGGTGCTTGTACTTTCATTTTTCAAAATTATAAAATCAGGTAGACCAGTCAGCTCAGTGGACTAACACACCTGCTTAGGCAGAGTGCAGGAACTGGGGTTGGATCCCTGGGTGCCATGCGGGCCCCACCCCCAGGGCGCGCTGAGATGGAGACTGAGACCCCTCATACCTGTAATCCCAGTGCCTAGACGGCTGAAAACAGGAGGATCACTACGAGTCTGATCTGTGTAGTGAGGCCCTGTGGACCCTGTCCTAAATACATTTTTTAAAAAATTATGAAATCAGCTTCCTTTAAAAAGTAAAAATTTAAATTTAAAAATAATAAATAAAAATTAAAAATATTGATGTACAATATTGATATTGACATACCGTAAACCCTAAATAAATGCCAGTCATGTTACATTTATCAAATTCCTTCAGAAGCACTAGGACATGGTCACAGACAAGTGCCCATTTCCTTTCCCTAAAAAGATTTACTATCAGGAAACTAACCTGTAATCCCTACTATGCTCAGGAGACTGAGACAGGAGGATCACCACAAATTCCAGGACACTGTCTCAAAAATAAAAAATGACCCCCCTAAAATCAATCTGAAACCTTCTGAGAAACCTAGCTTGTATGATTTTTGCATAGATTTTAGCTCTGAGTTACTTAAATTACTTCGGTTTCTGAAGAAAGTTTTCAGTCAACTTCTCTGTCTCAAATCACCAGAGAAGAGGGAATAAGAAAGTTATGGGAAATCGATGTCTCCCCAAGAAAGCCCCACGCTGGTGGCCCAGTTACCCAGCCTTTGAACGCTCTAACTGCTGGTACCAGCCACAGCACAGCCATGATTAAGGAATGGAAGAAAAATCACGGGCAACTCAGCTACTAACAATTTGGTTCACAATACTACTTGTGCGCACAGATTATACCCTAGGCCACAGTCTCCACTCTTGAGGCCTAAGGGAGCCCTGGCAGGTCCTGGCTCCTTGCTCCTCGCCTCTGTTTGACCTGGAGACCTTCCCTTCCCCAGGAGATCCAGAGCTTGCTCACCAACTGGAAGGGGCCAGACCTGACCAGCTATGGGGAACTGGTGCTGGAAGGGACCTTCCGCCTCCAGCGGGCCAAGAACGAGCGGACGCTCTTCCTTCTGGACAAGCTGCTCCTCATTACCAAGAAGAGGGACGACACATTTACGTACAAAGCTCACATCTTGGTAGGTGTCGAGGCTGGGGTTGCCCTTGGTGGCTTCCCAGGCTTGCCTCACCCCTGTGCTCCCCTGTCCAGTGTGGCAACCTCATGCTGGTAGAAGTGATACCGAAGGAGCCGCTCGGCTTCAGCGTCTTCCACTACAAGAACCCCAAGGTGCAGCACACTGTTCAGGTAAGAAGGGCCTGCTGGAGAGGGGCCGAGGCCACACGTGTGTCTCCCAGCTTATCAGAGGCTGACGGGACACAGCTGCCCAGCGTCTGACTGAGCCCATCTGCGCCCTAGGCTAAATCCCAGCAGGACAAGCGCCTCTGGGTCCTGCACCTGAAGAGACTAATCCTGGAGAACCACGCAGCCAAGATTCCAGCCAAGGTAAGAGAAGCGAGGGGTGCGGGGCTGGCCATGAGGCTCAGCGGTGGCCGATGGGCTGCAGCGCATGGCTTCAGAACTGCATGTGAGGGGTCAGACACAGTCGTTACACCTGCCATTTACTTCGAGGAGATTTATGTGTGGTACGCTCTGTGGGCTGTGAATGTGGTTATTATTTTCCCTTTAGAGATTGAAAGAAGAAAGGCATAAAGGAAAAATGGTGAGGAAGCTTCTAGAAACCAGCAGAGCCTGCACGTGGCAGCACATGCCTGTAATCCCAGCACTCACGAAGCTGAGGCAGGAGGACTGTGACTTCGAGGCCAGGCAGGGCTACAGAGAAACACTGACTCCAAAAAAGGCAAGGAGAAAAAAGAGGACGAGAAATAAGCAAAGGGCCCTGAGAACCTGCCAAGCGGGATGCGGTGCACAGGGGGGACAGAGGGCACAGCAGGCCTGACCATGCAGGAATTTATGGCCGAGGCGGCAGCCGTGAACCCCGAACTATTTGCTCAACACGGTGAAGTCACAGTGCTGTAAACCAGGTGTCTTGGAAGGCCAAAGCGTTCAGCTGAGTGAGGGATGAGGGAAAATGCCTTTTACTTGGTTCTTGAAGGATGAGGAATGTTTTTATTAGGGGGAGGGGGAAGGAAAAGGAAACCGAGGCTGAGAGAATGGGGTAAACAGGAACACAAGCATGGACGCAGGGGGAGCACACTTTCCACCCATGCCTGGATGTTCTGGGGAGACACACAGAAGGGGGTACGGGGTGGAGGCTTGGGATGCAACACCAGGCGTCTGCCCAGTAAGAGAGGGAGAGCGCTGGGCTGGAGCCACAGTGACAGAAGGAAAGAGATTTCACCGCCAGGCGTGGCCCCAGACCTGGTGCCCAGCTCCCTGAGAGGCTGCAAAGAGGAGGCTGAACCGGTTCCATGGGGTCGAACAGCAGGGAGTGGCGGGCAGGGCCTGTGCAGGTGGAAATTCAGGTTCTCAAAGCCTAGGATCAGAAGAGACAGTAATGGAAGCCCTGCGGTTTGACAGCTCTGGCCCGCAGGAATGTAAAGGGAAAGACAGACCCCAGGGAGCCCCAGCCAGATATCTGCAGGTAGAGGGGTCCTGAGAGAGCAACTAGAGTGGCAAGGAGGTGCTGAGGAGGCCAGGGGACATAGCGGCGTCCTGCTGCAGAGGGAGGGCCAGCGCACAGGGAGGCCTGGAAGGGATAACAGGGGATGCCAGACAGATGGAAGGGGGTAGAGGAGCAAGGGACATGCAGACCAACTGGTTGCAGGCTTTTTTTCTTTACACAAAATTCAGAAAAGAAAAATAGTGCTGGCTTAGGGAGAGACCAAATCAAAACCAAGTTTTTTGGGGCTGGGGAGATGGCTCAGTAGAATATCCTGGTTCCAAGAGAAAAAAAAAAAAAATTTTTGGGGCTGGGGAGATGGCTCAGTAGAATATCCTGGTTCCAAGAGAAAAAAAAAAAAAAAAAAAAAAAAAAAAATTCTTTTTTTTTGGGAAAAAAAAAAAAAAAAAAAAAAAAAAAAAAATTTTTTCTGTCTTGGAAAAAAAAAAAAAAAAAAAAAAAACCTAGCATTGTGGGTCAGTGGGCTGCAGGAGGGGAAGGGAGGCTGCATGTTGGGGTGAGGCCAGGGGAGGCACAGACCGCGGGCCATGGTGTAGGGGTGGGAGTCTTGGAAAGGGTTGGACATCTTCTGGGTCAGGGAGAGAAGGTGAAGGAACATGGAGGGAATGGGGGACCCATGAAATGTTGGCCCATGAAATGTTGGAGTCACAGATGGCCGTGACAAAGTCATCTGTGGGCCGAGGCAGGGAGCAGGTAAGCTACTGAAGAAGGTGGAAAGGCTCAGAACCATTGCAGAAGCAAATGGGCTGCTCACCAGCCATGACTCAGACCCTTCGTAGACCCAGCTGGGCCCACACACGCCCCACAGTCCTTCAGAGGGTGCTTGACAGTGGAGGTTGAGAGACCGTGGCACACACAGGTTCTCCTAGGTCAGGGACCGCAGGGCTGCATCCCCAGGCAAAGGAGAGGGGTGCTACCCATAGCTCTGGCTTCCCAGTAAATAGAGAGAAGACAGCTGGGGCAGCAGACAGAAGTAGTGGGAGGCAAGGTGCTTAGAGAAACAGTGGCCCAGGGAGGTGAGGGATGGCGGCCACTGGTGGTGGGGCAGAAGCGGGTCACAATCAGGACAGTAGGAGGGGGTGGACACAAGAGGACAAAGAGGGCGACAAGGGAACATGTTTTGCCCTCTGTTCTGAAAAGCTTCTGAGGCCCATGCTCTGGAGGTGTGCAGGTTAGAGACTCAGAAATGAGTGTGCTGAGGTGTGAGCCCACACACGGAAGCGCAGTTGCATGCCACGGGGCGGCGTGGCTGCAGGGCAACTACATTTCTGCAGGGTTTGTCACGGCACTTTGGCCCAGGGCCTCTGAATGCCCGTCTACACAAGGGCAACACGCCTCGGATGTGCTCCACCCACCATTCAGGAGTCTCCTGGGAACATCAAGATTGCTTCAAGAGGCTCTGAAAGGCAGTTACAGAGCCAGACTAGCTTGCACACCTGCGCCCTTGCCACACCAGGTGGCGGCTTCTCGGCTGTGTTACGACAGTTCCTACAGCTCAGGAGAATCCTACCTTGCTCCCAAGTTGCTGACACTCTGAGAATCTAAAAACTGACTTCGGAGGTGCAGTGTGTGCACTGTGCCGAGGACTTCATGCCTTTGTTTCGTCCTCAGAAAAGCATCCTATGAGCTCTTGTGCTCCCCGTTTTAGAGAAATAAAAGGAGGATGCCAAGATACAAAGTAAACTGCCCAAGTTTAACTAGGACATAGTGAGCCCAAACTGAGACCCTGGTCTGTCTGGCTTCAAAGAGCTCCTTAATTACTTTGTTCCTGCTAGCAATGAAAATGCACTTATGGTATTTAATATTGTTTACCTGCTATAATTCTTTCCTATCTTATTTAAGCAAAAGTACTCAGTTGAGTTTTCTATACATCTTTAACAATATTATTTCTAAAATTGTTGAAGTTCTCAAGACATTAATTTCTATGAAATCAAAGAAATACATACTAGGACATTTTCAACGTCACAAAAATGTGTCGCAGGGCTAACGAGGTCAACAGCTGGTTTCACTCCCATTCTTCCTACTGTCTGCAGTTCTTTAACCCTACGATGGTCTGTGGCTGCCGCCTAGTGGTATGTGCGGGAATAGCACTTTTAAGATAAAGCTTTAAGAATTAGGGAAAACGTTACAGGAGGTAACATTTAGAGATACATAGCAGGTTTAGAGAATTGTAGATACCAGAGAGTTGCTTGAGGCTAGCCACGTTTCCATATATATGGTATTAAACTGAGTTTTTGTCCAAATTAACTGATAGTAAGGTAAATATAAGTATTTTTTTCAGTTTATACATTAACATGGTTCTAGAAACACACTTCCCAGATACTGAGCTATTATCTGTGTTTAAAATTCATTCTAATAGTCCTCTGGAAGTGCAAGGTCACAAGTACAATCCCTGGTATAGGTGGCTACGTGGAGGCCTCCCCCCATATGCTAACACGTTTTTAAGTTTTTTTGTTTTTTGGTGGAACTGGGGATTGAACTCAGACCCTTGAGCTTGCCAGGCAAGTGTTTATTCTACTGAGCCATCTCCCCAGCCCCAACTAACATGTTTTTAAATTGAATATGATTGCCAGTGTCGCTCTGCCTGAATACATAGTGTGATATCAAGACTCAGCAAAGCAGGGGTAAAATTATTTTAAAAGAAAGTGACATTGAAGAGGCAAGAAAGGCTGCCTAGATTGGTTAGCACAATTTACTTTTTTATAGTCCTCTAAATGTAAAGAACACATGGAGCCAGGAATATAGCTCAGCTGCACAGCACCTGCCTGGCAAGCAGGAGGTCATGAGTTCAGTTCCTGGTACCAAAAAAAAAAAAAGAAAAAAAGAAAGAAAGAAAGAAAGAAAGGAACATGTGGAAACCACGTGAAGAATCCAAATAAGTACCCAGCATTGGGTCTCAAAGGGGGGCTTTGAGGCGAGAAAAGCAGTGAGTGCAGGCAAGGCCCTGGGGCCAGGGGCTGGGGCAGCTAACGGGACTCATCCCAGCACTGAGCAGTGGGACCTGCTGTCCTACTTTAGAGTTGAGTGGGCAAAGTGAGAGCACCCCTGGCTCTGTGTCCTCAGAGCCCTGGCCCCCCGCACGGAAACTTACTTCCCCTCTGGGACACAGGAGGTCGGGAGGTGAGGGAGCTGGGGAAGTCAGCAAGCACCGCAAGGCACTCAGAGAAGGAAAGCAGTGGCCGTGAGCTCCCAGCGGCCTCTCGCCAACCTGCTTGGCAGCGCAGGCTGTGGGCTCCACATCTGCCGACTCAGCCAGAAATGGTCAGAAACACTACCAGGAAAGCACTGAGCCTGCCTGCACTGGACATGTAGACATTTTGCTTTGTCATCCTTCCTGCCATATTGTGTTAGGCTTTCTCAACCATCTAGAAATTAGTGAATGTTACAAGAGGATGTGTGGGGGTTCCATGTGAATACTGTGCCTCTATTATAAGGAACATGAGCATCCATGGGTTTGGATTTCCTTGGCAGTGGTGGCCTGGGACCCCTCACCCACAAATGCACAGACGACTATACATCTGCAGCCCCCCAAGGACAGGAGAGGTTGGTAGGGTACACGCCGGCCTCCACGCCTCGAGCTTCGGAGTCAGAAGACAGTGGTCAGGGAGCAGGACCCTGCACTTTATCCTAAGTTTCCCAGCGGCTCCTGGTCAGCAGCTGGACTCAGGCCAGCCTCTCTCCCCATATCTCTCTTCTTGCCAGGGTCGGGTAGGGGTCAGTCTTAGCTCTGGCGCATCAGTTGGGCAATGCCCACTGCCTCCATGAAGGCCCACATCTGTTTGGATCCCCTGACCTATGTACTAATGTCTAAGAGAAACACTGGGTTTTTTAAAGCTTTTAAAAGTCCAGTTAGTTGGGGTAAGATCTGTGTCTGGTTTGGTAGTTGAGAAGAAGAAAACTAATCGTTGCAATTATAGCTGCACTTTTTCTCTTTTAGGCCAAGCAAGCCATACTTGAAATGGATGCCATCCGTGAGTTTTGTTTCTTTAACATGATTTGAACTGTTATTGCCTCCTGGAACAGCACCAACATTTATCAAGTGTCAGTCAGTTGGGAGAATGTGAAAGCTTTCTGCTAATAGAGCAGAAGCTATAACCCCCTGCAATATTTCAATGTTGATGCTCCTGTGTCTCTGTGAGTCGCTTGGTGGCTGGCCACAGGTCTAGGTTTCTGCAGCCACCAACAGTGCCAGCAGCGTGGGCTCCGCCTCCCACCTCCTCCGCCACTGAAGAGCAGGGCTCTAGCACGGGTGTCCCTTTCATCCTGACCCCTAATACCATGTCGATTATCTGCAAGAATCCCCATAAGGTGATACTTCCTAGTGTTTCTGATACAAACAGAATTCTAAAAATCATAGCCACCTCACATTTGTGACTATGTGTTTAAACCTATAAAAGCCCAAGAATAGATATGCCAGGTCCTTCTTATTAAATAATGTCTTGTCTGGTACCACTTCTAACATCTTTGTTACTTCTCGGATTTGAGAACAAAAAGGAAATATGGTGATTTTAAACATTCAACCCGATCTGATAGGAACTTTTATTTAAAACACTTCCAGTCAGACCCATGTCACATGCCTGTAATCTCAACACCCTGGGACACTGAGACAGGAGGATTGCAAGTTCAAGGCCAGTGTGGACAACTCAGCTTACTTTTTAAAACTTTTTTAAAAAACTAAAAAATAAATTAAATTTAAAAAATAAATTAATTGCCTCTCCCCTTACTTTTAAGAAATCTGTTATCATGTGCATACACTGATTTCCTTACTCTCCCAACTGCCACATGTTAATTCTCCAGGAGAATAGAGAGACACCAGAAAGGTGGATGAGGAGCGTCATCCTGCCGCTGTAGCTGCGGCTCTGGGTTCCCATCCATGGGAGGAGCTGCTAAGTGACCCCGGTCAGAGGGCGAGTCTGTGTTCTCTAAACTCCCACGTTTATGCTGTGGAAATCACTCCAGGGTTTTTTAAGAATGTCTGAAAAGACTGGTCATGGATGGGCAGGTGTGCGTTAGGAACAGGACTGAGGAAGACGCAGATCTAGAGAAGTCAGCTGCCGGGGGGCCAGCCCCACTCCACAAAATGATTTGCTCATGGCCAGGCTCTCAGCAAGTGCTGGAGACCGAGTGCCCCAGATGGTTCTATGCACCTCCATTGCCAGGCTGAGCCCCGGGCAGCCATGCCGGGGGCAGTGACCTTCCGGAAGTTTAGACCTAGCTCAGTTGGGCAGCGGGGGCCAGATGCCCTCCTTCGGGTAATGTGGCCTGACAGCAAACTAACTGTTGCAGTCATTAGGGTCCCAAGTCAAGCCCCCCTTGAAGCACCTTGGTTGTGACTGGAGGAGCAGGAGTGTATGGCTGTCCTCGGAGTGCTGAGCCGTCAGGGTGCGTGTGGTCACCCCTCGTGCCCCCTGCACTAGCGTTAGATCACAGTGCCTTGACCCAGCGTCCATGGGACTGAGGTGGAGTAGAACGATATGAACTCAGTGACACTGAACCGAAGTTTCTTTCCTGATAAGAGAGTCTAACACTTTCACCAGATGCATGAAGGGATGATGCCTAGGAACATATTGAGAACAACTACACCGAAGGGCACCTTCCACCAAGACGTGAAGGGAGCTGTCTTACTAGGCAAAGCTGATGCCTGACAGATCCTTCAGCTGAGGAAGGAAACAGAAGCCATGGGGGAGGGGAGGAAGGAGAGAGAGACGGCAGGACAGGGACTCGGGGGCCCCACCCACGTACCACTACTAGCAGTCCAGCACCTGCGAAAAGTTTTGAGATACAGTCAACACATGGAATATATCCATGTCTGATGTAAAAGAGCGATTGCGTCAAAATCTGAAAGAACCTGTAGCCGTTCTCCCAGCAGCCCGCCCTGACCTGTGCTGTGTCACCTTTGCAGACCACCCAGGCTTCTGTTACAGCCCCGAGGGGGAGACGAAAGCGCTCTGCAGCTCGAAAGAAGGCTCTGCGCCCTACCGGCTGAGAAGAAAGTCTGGTAAGCAGGGTGCTGTGATGAGAGTGCTATGCCAACGGCACTGGACCTGAGGGTTGCTCTCGGGAGGGCACAAAGGCATGTTCTGCCTGGCTTTCGGGCTTACTGCTGCTCTGAGTACACTGCCGGAGGCTGCTCTGAAGTAAGACCTACCAGCCTTTGTTTTAAACTTGATTTCTATTTAACTCTGTCTTTCCTGCTTAAGTCTGTCTTCCCCATGAATAGAAACCTAACTTTTGCTTTCTCCAGCATCTTACCAACAACATGCAGTTAGGCAAACCTTATTTGCAATTGCTAATTGATATTGCGTCCTGTTAATGACACACACGAAGAGTTATTCACGCACAAGATCAGAATACACACTTGCTAGAGCAGATTCTGTGAAGCATTGTCCTATCCGGATCTTAATTCCATTTGTATCAGTATTTGTTACCACCTATTTTACACCTTGCTGAGGGCAAGAACATATATAAGAATAACTGAAGCATATGATTCCTGTTTGCAAAAAGCTCACTGTGGGAGACAGAAAATAGGAATCAATATCAGTTTATGTCATGGTGCTGTGGCAGAGGTGGGATGGAAGGAAAAGAGGAATTGATTAACCTAGGAAGGCGAGAGAAGCCTTCATGGTATAAAGGACCCAGTGGTCCTTCAGTGCTTTGAAGCTGAGAGGCCAAGGGGGCAGAATGATCATGCCAAGGCCCTGGGACTTCCACCAGCGCCACTGAGGCCAGGCAGCTCCTACTGCCAGCTGTGTAGAGTAGCGAGAGCTGGGGGAGCCTAAGTTGGACAGGGGAGGACACAGTGGAGATGAAATAGGGACAAGCGGACAGGAGCCTGACCTTGAAGTCTAGCAGGCCAGGCAGAGGGGCTGAACTTGGCACTCCACAAAGGATCAGAAGCAGTGAGCTATGAGAACAGTTGCCTTTTGATCAAGAACTCAGACTGTATGTGGGGCGTGAGGCAGGCAGCGAGACTGGGAGGGAAGCAGCCGTGCTAGTCTAGGGGACAGATGACACAGACTTGGATTCAAAGAGTGGGCTCTGCGGCGGAGCATTATTGGGAGCCCTCAAAACTGTCATGGATTAAAACAGAAGAATTTGTCAATGTCCTGATCACCACCATGGGAGAGAAAGATCAACGATAACCCAGTAGGAAACACGGATGAAGGAGCAGGGTAGGAAGAGGATGGTGAAGTGCAATTCGGTGTGCAGTTTGTTGAGCCAGAAGCTTGGGACACTAGGGCAAGATACAGCTCAGTGGCACAGTGCCTGCCTGGCAAGCCCAAGGTCCTAAGTTTGGTTCCTGATACAAAAAAAAAAAAAAAAGGAAGGAGGAGGAGGACGAGGAGGAGGAGGAGGACAACGACAATGACCAGGAAGATGGTTCAGTGGAATAAGTTTCCCTGGCAAGCGCAAGGGCCTGAGTTCAATACCCAGTTCTGAAAAAAAGAAGAAGAAGAGGAAGAGGAAGAAGAAGAAGCTTGAGACAGGCATATGACATAGTATGTAAAACTGAAAGTTACTATCTTACTACTTTAGAGAAAAAGTTTCTTTACTAGTTGATAGGTTGGCAATGTAGCATTTTGCCTTTCTGTCATGTGACTTACAGTTCCTTAACATTTGTCCTGTTCACCTGACAGAGTGAATTTCTGTTTTGTTTTGTTTTTTATCAGAGTGAATTTCTTATCTTTAAATGTTTCCGAGCAATGGGAGTTTAAAGTTGATAAGAAACTTCTAGAGTTCATTGAATTTAATATAAATTTGTCACTTATAAAAGAGAATTTTTGATTTGGTTCTGTAAAGTGATCCTAGCTTTATTCTCCTTCCAGAGCCTTCCTCGCGATCACATAAAGTCTTGAAGACCAGTGGTAAGTACCTAAGTACCATCACTCGCATTCCTGCGCATCCCAAGTCAAGCCATTCATGCCCAGAAAGGAATGTCAGATGAGCTACAGCTTCATGGATTCAGTGATTGGAGCACAGAAAGATGGGTTTCTGTGAGCAAAATTGTCTCCTGTTAAAATGTGACAAATGATGCTTCCCTTGGCAGTACATGCACTGAAATGTAACCAATGACATCACTTATATGCAATGTCCCTGACAAGCATAAAAAAAGATTAATGCTCCTATTATATAAAGAAATCCCACACAATGAAAAGAGGAGTTAGGGCCAGCCAAATAGCTCAGCGAATTAAAGCACAGGGGTCAGGAGTTTGATCCCCAGACCTGCTGTGCTGGGATGGCAATTGAGACTGGGCGTGGTGGCGCGCTCCTGTAATCCCAGCTCTTGGGAGGCTGTACACAGGCAGATCACTACGAGTCCTACCTAGTAGTGGGATCCTGAACACCCTGTAGACCCTTCCCTAAAATACAAAAAAAAAAAAAAGAGAGAGAGAGAGAAAGAAAGGAGGAGTTAAAGAACCATTTAATGCATATATACATATATGTGCACACACACGTATGCACACATGTAGACATATAGACACAAAGATATATACACACACAAGTATATTTGGGCAGCTTCAGAAAAGAAACAAAGAGCCAATAAAAATTTGAAATGGCTGGGGCTGGGGAGATGGCTCAGTGGAATAAGTGCTTCCCTGGCCAACCCAAGGGTCTGAGTTCAATCCCAAGTTCTGCCCCCCAAAAAAAATTAAAATGGCATTTATCCTTCTTTATGGCTGAGTACTACTCCACTATATAAAAATACCGTATCTATTGCCGTGGCTGCTCTCGGTCTCTTGCCTTAGCCAGCAGGGAGCTGTGTATGCAGAGTCCTCACCACCGTTAGCCAGATGGCCACACGCAGAACTGGCCACCGACTGGCAAGAACTTCAATAGCTGCGGGACCTGGCCTGCCACTGTTGCATTCTCAGGTTACTATGCAACTCGGGTCTGGAAACCTCTATAGCAAGTAACCACAGAAGCTGCAAGGAAGTGCTCGCCCCGTAACCTTCCATCCTCTTCTAGGAGGATCCGAACGGAAAGTGCGTTGGTGAGAAGCAAGTCTCATTTTAGGCCTCAGCCCATCTGCTGGCAAAGCCAAGATTAGAGCAGCTCACAGAAACATCGTGACTCTTAACCAGCCAGCCAGAGGTGGGGCTTCTTACGAAGAAACCAAAATAAGTGCAGCAGAAGTTTGCTGGGCTCAGTTACCGAGCACCGACCAAAGCTCAGGGACCAAACGGAAGGAAAAATACAAGGAGCTTAAAAAAAAAACCTGCAAATTAATCTAACATACAGTCTTAGTTTCCCTGCACATGTTGGCCACAGTCCTTCCACCTAAGCAACACAACAACAAAAGCCTAAGCATCCTGCTTTTGCCGTTAGAGGAACTGCACGAATGACCAGAGAAAAACTGCATATTTTCTTTAGTTTCTCAATGACATTCACATTTTAAAAAATTTTATGTAAGCCCTACACTGTATACACAAATACACACAGACACATGGGTACAAGTATATCCATAACCAGTGCAGCTGGGGTTTGTGAGCAATTAATGGAAATTTGCTCTAAAAAAAAAAACAATTTTGTTTCTATCAGTTCCTTGGTTGAAGGGCATTCAGGTTGTTTCCAAGATTCAGCTAGGACAAGTTGTGCTGCTATCAA